AGTGAATCTTTTGCCCATTCTTCTTTGCTCAAGCTCTGTCAGATTGGATGGAGTGCGTCTGTGAATTGCAATTTTCAAGTCTTACCACAGATTTTCAATTGGATTCATGTCTGGACTTTGACTGGGTTATTCTAACACATGAATATGCTTTGATCTAAACCATTCCATTGTAGCTACTGTATGTTTAGGGTCGTTGTCCTGCTGGAAGGTGAACCTCTTCCCCAGTCTCAAGTCTTTTGCAGAATCTAACAGGTATTCTTCTAACATTGCCCTGTATTTGGCTCCATCCATCTTCCCATCTACTCTGACCAGCTTTCCTGACCCTTGCTGAAGAAAAACATCCCCACAACATCATGTTGCCACCACCTTGTTCATGGTGTGTTCAGGGTGATGTGCAGTATTTGTTTTCCACCACACATAGGGTTTTGCTTTTAGGCCAAAAAGTTTAATTTTGATCTCATCTGAGCAGAACACTTTTTTCCTCATGTTTGATATGTCCCCCACATAGCTTTTTGCAAACTGCAAACAGGACTTCTTATGGTTTTCTTTCAACAATAGCTTTCTTCTTGCCACTCTTCCATAAAGGCCAGTGCACTACTAATAGTTGTCCTGTGTACAAATTCTCCCACCTGAGCTGTGGATCTCTGCAGCTCCTCCAGAGTTACCATGGGCCTCTTTGCTGCTTCTGTGATTAATACTCTTCTTGCCCAGCCTGTCATTTTAGGTGGATGGCCATGTCTTGGTAGGTTTGCAGTTCTGCCATACTCTTTCCATTTTTGGATTATGGATTGAACAGTGCTCTGTGAGATGTTCAAAGCTTGGGATATTTTTTTTATAACCTAACCCTGATTTAAACTTCTCCACCACATTATCCCTGGTGTGTTCCTTGGCCTTCATTATGCTATTTGTTCACTACTGTTCACTAAGAAACCTCTGAGGGCTTCACAGAACAGCTGTATTTATACCGAGATTAAATTACACACAGGTGGACTCTATTCACTAATTGAGTGACTTCTGAAGGCAATTGGTTCCACTAGATTTTAGTTAAGGGTATCAGAGTAAAGGAGGAATAAAAATGTATGCCAAACTTTCCAGATATTTATTTGTATAACATTTGTAAAACCATTTATCATTTTCCTTCCACTTCACAATTATGTGCCACTTTGTGTTGGTCTATCACAAACTCACAATAAAATACATTTACGTTTTCTGTTGCAACATGACAAAATGTGGACAATTTCAAGAAGTGTGAATACATTTTCAAGGCACTGTATGTGAACCAGCACTTATTGCCCAATACATAGAAGGCCATTTTCAGGTATCTAGTAGATTTTTCAAAGGAGTACAACAGAGCCAATCAAAGTTTGTTTCTGAGCTGCATCACCTTGATGTATATAGAAAGCAATGGCTTTTGTTTGTTTTTGTGGCTCCCAGGATTTAATCTGCTTCCTATCTGGACAGTAGCAATGTCTGATAACTTCCACTGTCCCTCTCCAAGTCTGACTCACATTCCACAGGGAATTACAGAAGGCTGATCTGAAGATATATTCAGGTATTTACTGTACATCAGCAGCATTGTATAACACATGTACTGATCTTTTCAAACAAATACATTTGTTTGTGACTTTTATCTCTGTCTAGAGATTAGCTTTAAAGTGTTACTAAACCCAGGATTCTGCATTCACTATATCTGGTCTCCCCGGACCCTGCATTCACTATAGTTGGTCTCCCACAGAACATGGAAATGCAACTATTTTAGTAAATATAAACTGCTAAATACCTTTTCTCATCAGCAGTTAGAGCAGTCTTGTGACTTCTATCAGAGTCCTGCTGAGCACTGGTTAAAGGTTGTAGGAGGAGTTTTCATTCTCCTCTTACTGCCCTATGAGATTGCATAACCCCTGACCCTCTGTCTGGACAGTGCTGACTGGCCTTGTGCTGATCACATGCACCCTCCCAAAAAAAGAAAAAAAACGCTCTAGCAGTACACACCAAACTGAGAATGTGCAGAGTGTCCTTGAGGCTCCGTTCTATCAGGAGATGAAATGGGGAATGTGGAAGAAGGGGAGGATCAGAGAAGACAGGATCAAACATCCTTTTTACACAATGCAGAGTATTAGCCCCTTAAGTTCTACAGTGAGTATAACAAGCATACTTTACTGCATTACAGACTGATTTTACTGTTGTATGTTTATTAACACTTTAAGAACCATAATCTTCCTTATCCATTCCATGAACTAAATATGCTGTCCCTGTGTATAATCCACATTAAGACATTATTGCCTGAATTAAGTTTACTGTGTTGTTTAATGAGATGAGCATCTTTATGAAAACCACAGATGTTACCAATCCATTACAGTAGCTGTCAAAATGCATGCAATTAATAAGTCTTTATATTCCCTTTGGGTGTGAAATCTCGCATACAAATGACTAGACGAGGGACATTACAGAGAAAGACTTGTTGAAGAGAAAGTTACAAATTCATCACCTCATACTGGTACTAGAATTTGTGTTTCTATATAAACCTGACACTTTCAGTTTGAAAATATTAAGTGTGACCAGTGTAAACCTTATTGTGGAAGCATGTGTCACTACATAAATGAGCCTAAGTAAATGTGTCAATGAAGAAATAAAAAAAATCCTGGAAAATGCGCCAATGCACAATATGGCTGTGTTAATTTGCGCAAAAATGTGCGTATACACAAAGGCGCATGCCACGTAGTGCAATAGTTGTTGGAGGCCAGTGGGCTTTACAAGGACTGCAGCTCCTCTCAGTGATTGCTGGATTATCGTCAGCCTTCTGTTCCTGTGCGTTACTCTTGCTCTTACTTCTCTCCTGGCTCTGACCCTGGCTTGCTACTCTGATCTACTCATGTCTATTCCTGATTGATGTCCTGTGTGTGACCCTGGCTTGTTCCTGACTATACTGTTGCCTCAGTTCCTGTTTAATACTCTGTTTTTGATCCCCGACTCTGGCTTCTGACTACGCTTCCTGCTCTGGTCATCTGTCAAGATCCACCAGTCATCCAGAGAGTCATCTGCTGTATCTGCTCTGCCCATGGGTGTTGTCTCATCTGGAACCACCTGCGAACACACCATTGGCAACCCGTGCTTCTTTGTGCACTGCACCTTCTGTTACCACCTTCAGGGGTGCTTTGCACTCAGCCACAAGGGGAGTCCGCTCATCATCTCAGCCTCTGGTTAGTTAAGTGACAAAACACATTGCTTTTATACATCCGGTTTATCAATGTGTGTTTCAGTGTCATATTGTAATATATACCGTATCAAAGTAGATTATCACCTTGGTCAATGTATGTTATTAATAAATACAGATATTGTTGATAGGAGTACTAAACATTTTCTATAGCCTTAGCAATAACTTTGTTTACCACATTTGGGCCCCAGTAAAATATATGAGACAGGGTTTAAATTTACTACTCACTGATCCAGAAATGACAACTCCAAGCCTCTAAAACTCCTCCATTCTACATGTCAACCTCATTACTTTCTGTACCTAAACCCCCAACCACTCTTGGCAGTTCTCTACTACTGAACTCTTAAAACTCCTTCTGCTTTGCACACCATATCCCCATTGCTGAAGGATAAGCAAATCACAAACACAATTGATCAAAGTGAAGGAGATGAGGATGGTATTTTGATATGGCCAGCTAAGCTTTATGGACCTAATCAATTACATTACCTTTTTTTAACAAATCCTTTGTGGCACCCTATAGAAAGAATATCAATTCGAATTCCAGGTAGTATTAATACATTAATAATTACCCCTCCCCCAGCTGATAAAGGAAAATTATCTGTCATCAAGTGAAATACAGGACCAGCAGTGACCTGAAATGATGTGAGGACATTGGCAAGAGAGGTGGTGACAAGACTGGTTCTTGACTGGAAAAAAGAAGGCTTCAGGAGACTAGTTGTCTGAACTGGGACTGGCAAAGAGGAAGGACAAGGGACCAAAGATTACGTAAGCATTGTTAGAGTTAGGCTTTAAACTAGTGCATAGCAGGATCCCTAAAAGACATTCTAGCATACTGGTGGTCGGAATTTATGTTGCTTTAGTAATAGACATGCTATTATCCAAATTGTTAATTTAATTCAGAAGTGGCTTGGACACTTAATTGCAAGAAATGGTATGACCAAATGTAATTATTAGAATTCATTAAGAGAACATTTGAACCAGGGAATTAATCCTACTGTCAAAGGAAAAGAAAAATCCCCCACTTGTGAGGATGAAATAGAATGATCTCACTGGGTTATGCTTGTTATTGAAAAGCCAATGTAATTCAGCCGGCATCATTACAGAAGGTTTAAATATTCCAATGCAAACTGCTCTGAGCCATTCTCTTTATCCCACTGAATTTGTGCTTTTCCACACTGACTTTCATGATCGAAAATATATTTAGTAAACAGTTACATTATAACACCATTTAACATTTTTAGTACAATAATGGTTAACACCTTCGCACCGGCCATATGCATATATACAGCCTTTTGACGGGTGGGCCTTAATGCCAAGAAGCCATATACATGGGTACCTATAGATAGGCAGAACTGTGCTGAGAGCGTGCGCCGCACATGCTCCTGGCACAGTTGATGGGGCTAACAGAGTTCACAATCTCTACTTGCAGTGAGGAGCTTTCTGATCATGTGACGGCTGTGACAGACAATCACCATGGTCACATGATCAGAAACACTGCCTAGCCTCCCAGCATCTGAAACCCATTAAAGGGCTGGGAGATGCCAGCGCCAAGGGGTTAATATAACATTGTCTAATTTCAATAAAGCCCCATTCACATTTTGTGCAGCAAGAACATGTATTTTAACCACTAGCCTACAGGGCACTTATACCCCCTTCCTGCCCAGGCCAATTTCCAGCTTTCAGTGCTGTTGCACTTTGAATGAGAATTGTGCGATCATGCAACACTGTACGCATATGAAATTTTTATCATTTTTCTGTGACAGATAGAGCTTTATTTTGGTGGTATTTAATCACTTCTGGGTTTATTTTTTCTTAAACCAAAAACCACTGAACATTTTGAAAAAAAAGTTTTTTCTTAGTTTTTGTTATTAAATTTAGTAAATAAGAGATTTTTCTCCTTCACTGATGTGCGCTAATGAGGCTGCACTGATAGGCTGCACTGATGGATGCCAATAGGTGGCACTGATGGGCACTGATGAGGAGGCACTGGTAGGTGCGTATGGTGGTACGGGCATTGACAGGCATCACTGATGGGCACTGAAAGGCAGCACTCATATGTGGCACTGACTGGCACTGATAGGCGGCACTGATAGGCGGCACTGACTGGCACTGATAGGCGGATAGGCACTGTGTCACTGATGGGTGACACTGAAAGGCAGCTCAGATGGGCACCGATATGTGGCTTTGATGTGGCATTGATGGGCACTGAAATGTGGCACTGGCAGGTGGCATGGATGAGCACTGAGAGCTGGCACTGATGGACACTGACAGGTGGCACTGCTGGGGGTACACAAATCATCAGGGCACATTGATCATCAGTGCCCTGATGATCTGCGTACCCCTCTGAGGAATGCTGATTACCAGCTCTCCTCACAAGCTGTCAGCCTGACAGCTCGAGAGGAGAGAAATGCCGATAACCGGCATTTCCCTGTTTACATGTGATCAGCTGTGATTGGACACAGCTCATCACATGACTGAGCCGACATCTTCGGCTCTTTCCGTGGATCGGTGATGGAGAGCCAACAACTTTTTATTGCAACATCCAGAGTATGCCTCAAAGCGCTCGAATTCTCTTTCTGAATTTTTTGCTCAAAACAAACTCGGTCCCTGACCCCTTTGTGGTATGGAACTCTCACAAAGCATTTATTAGAGGTTTGTTAATTCAAATGGGATCTAGAGAAAAAACGAAAAAGTCACAATGCTTAGATCTCCTACAAAACTCTATTAGAGTTATTGAAACCCAGAATAAAGCACAGCCCACCCAAGCTCTTAAATCAAAATTAACATTGTTGCGTCAAGAACTTCGATCTCCCCTATTGGACTCCTTTAAACATATGCAGCGTAAGCTGCAAGCTACCTCTATTCCACCTCTAATAAGGCAGGGAAATAACCATCTCATAAAATTAAAGCCTGTAGAATTAAATTCAGAATACCATTTCTTTATGACTACTTCAAATACCAAAATCTTTAATCCTCAGCACATTGCAGATGCCTTTAGCTACTATTACAGTTCACTATACAATATCAAATTAGATGATTCCATACACCAAACCACTCTGATCGAGATTAACACTTTTCTTGAAAAAATCAAACTCCCTTCCTTATCGGAAACGCAACTTAATTTCAACGTCCCATCCACCTACCAAAAAATTATCTCCACAATTCCATCTCTCCCTATTGGTAAATCTCCGGGGCCTGATGGTCTGCTGGCTGAATACTACAAACAATTCCTCTCTATTCTAACAACTCATCTATGCCCCATTTACAACTTCTCTGCTTCCTCTTCATCTTTCCCCTCTGAAATGCTCCAAGCCCTATGTTCTTCCTCATCTAATACATTGTGACCAATCCGGTTTCACCAAATCTCGTCAAACCTCAGATGCCACCAGACGTTTGATAGATCTGACCACGCAGAGGTCTCTCGAACGCCTTCTCTGCTTCTATCCCTGGATGCAGAGAAGACGTTTGATAGCGTCCATTGGAATTATCTTCATCAGGTACTACTCAAATTTGGATTTCAGGGCCCTATCCTAAGAGCAATTTTAGCCCTCTATACTACCCCTTCTGCTCAAGTTTATTCCTCAAACATGTTATCGCGTCTCTTTCACATAACCAACAGAACAAGGCAAGGATGCCCATTATCGCAGTTAATTTTTTAATCTTCTTATGGAACTCCTAGCGGAGCATATACGCTCTAACCCAAACATAAAAGGCTTCTCTATTGGTCATTAAACCCACAAACTAAGTTGGTTTGTTGATGACGTTATCCTTTTCATTTCCGATCCAGCTTCCTCTTTGATCGAGGTATATCGTACTCTAAACTGGTTCAGGAAAGTGTCGTATTATAAAGTCAATGAAAACAAATCTGTAATATTGGATCTAGGTCTAGATGGTATCACCAGGAATATATTGCAGAATCAATTACCCTTTGCTTGGGACGATTCTGGCATATCTTACTTAGGAATACGACTAACCAAATCAGTTAAAGGTCTGTTTTCTGCCAACTACATTCCATTTCTCTCAAAAAATGCAACAAGAATTGCAACCATTACAACAACATGAGCTTTCCTGGGCTGGCAGGCTTGCTGCCTTTAAAATGTCTATTCTTCCCCAGCTGCTTTATTTATTTAGAACCCTCCCTATTCCTATCCCACATTCGTACTTCAAATCCTTACAAACCTCATTAAACAAATACTGTACATATGTCAGGGAAAGAAACCCTGCTGTGCTCATGCAACACTTACAAAACATAGATCAGTAGGAGGCTCTGGATATATTAACTTTAGTGATTACTATACAGCAACAATACTTTCACAACTGAGATATTGGTTTAATACCTCATCTACTGCTACATTGTGGAGTCAAATAGAATCTACCTACATTCAAGGAGAGAATCTAAGTGCATGGCTCTTGGGGAATACCCTTAGGGATTCTGATCTCACCCACTCTCCCCCCACCTATTTTAGTGACAATCTCTGCATGGCGGATTCTCATCTGTGCTCCTTGTCCTTCCATGCAAGCAGTGATGCCTAATCTTCCTTTGCACATTTTAATACATTTTACCCCTGATATTCCTATACACCACTTGTCCACATGCGGCATAGCATACATTCAGAATTTTTTTTAATGACTCCTCCCTTAAATCATTCACGTCTCTTCAACAAGAATTCCACCTACCTCCCCAATTACTTTTCACCTACCTTAGGATATCTCATTGCCTTTCTAAACAATCCTACTCCCTTTACAAACTTCCTAAACCCTCTTGGAACTAGATCTCTCGCTCGTCTACTAAAACCAAAGGGATTTAACATTTCTACAATATCTTAAACCAAAAGAAAGCATTTACTAAGGTTAAACCACTTTTCCAATGGGAGGATCTTGCCTACATTTATACTGAGCAACAATGGCTTCACACATTTTAATCAATTTACCGAGCTACTTGCTGCTCCACATTATGGGAATTAACACAAAAAATATCCCTTAGATGGTATCTCACTCCTGTTAAAATGGCGTGTTTTAATAACCATGTATCCCCTTTGTGCTGGAGGAACTGCGGGAATTCTGGGAGTTTTATTCACATCTTTTGGCGTTGTCCGCTCCTAAACAAATTTCTGGTCTACAATTTTTCACATTTTATCTGCTATTTCACGGACCTCTATTCCCCTAAATCCTGATTTACATTACTGAATTTAAATATTGACAGTATTAACCCCCATACTAAACACTGTAACCCACATTCTTTTGGCAGCTAGATTGAGTATCACTAGATCTTGTAAAACCTCTCATACAACCACTGCGTTTGATGCTATCGCATTAGTTGACAGGCACTGCTCTTATGAACTTGAGATGGCCTCTAGCAAAAGTAAATATAGAAAAGTACTTGCCCTATGGCAACCTTGGCTCAGATGGTACCAAACAAACCCACCTGTGTGAACACATCATTTTGGTAGAAAGTTCTTTAGCTGATCTCTCTAAGCTTTGACATTTTAAATGTAAGCGTTACTGTATCACTGGTCTTTTTATGATTTTTTTTTCTCTCTGTTCTGTTTACTGATTTTTAGTTTTTTTCTCTAATTTTATCAACGACTGTAGAATGTTTATCTACTGCATACGGGTATTTCCTGTATTTTTATGTAAAAATTTCCAATAAAAATTATTGAAATATAAATTGGCCTAGTATGTGTATGTATGAATGTGAGTTAGGGACCTTAGATTGTACACCCCTTGAGGGTTAGGGACTTATATGAATGTACAATATAAGACTGTTCATGAAGAGCACATATTTCAACTATGTATTTAGCTGGAAATCTAATTTAAATATTCACAGTCCAACTCCATTTTCTCAACCATCCAGTCTTCATCATGTTCCACTGCCCTGAGGCTCCCCTTGTACTGTACATGAAAAAATATACAGAAAAAAACCCATTTCCAAATGTCTTCCAGGCAGTCACATGATGAGCAATGTCTTTTCTTTTCTTATCCGCCATCAGCAGTCCTTACTGTTACAGATAATATTCTGCACAACACTGTGAGCCCACACTGTAATATCACAACCCCATGTCCATGGCCACTTTGGCTCTCAGGAAGTGGGCTGAACCTTGGCATCATTTGACCTGGAAGGGTATTGGTGCTGGATGACAGAACCAAGTTTCTGCCAGAAAGCAGGTGACTTTTTATTACCAAAATCTAGATTTTATTTTAATTTGCTGAGCAGTTTAATATTTTTCTAATAATTGTAGTTGGCCTTTAAGGATTTTATAACTGTATTGAGTCCAGGGACATAATTGTTCTAAATAAAGTACCACATGATAAGTGTGTGTGTGGGGGTGAGGGGGATTCTTCCAGCCTTATGACCTGGAACCTAGTTTGGCACCCTCTTTGGCACTTTTTTTTTTTTTTTAATATCCCCGTGCAAAAGCACAGACAATATGTCTGCTGCTGGCAAAGATGTAAAGCCAAGTCTAATAAATGTCCGGATGTACAAGCTCCCTTGAATACAGAACATTTCAAGCTTCTGACATTTAACTTTGTATTTCAAACTCATTTCGTTATTAAGGAATGTATGGAAGTAAAAGTAGCACACCTTTCAAACATCTAATTAAAAATTCTATAAAACAGTGTGACATATCTGACAAGTGTGCTGCTAAACATTTCTTCACAACCTTCACTGCAAGGTGAGCAGGTAAAGGATCCTTGCATCCTGTCTGGCTGAATTGCACTTGCACAATAGTAAACAAGAAACATGTATGCTCTCCCTTGGTGACATTTTACAACTTTAGAAAAATAAAAATAATTACATTTTTGTAAAGAAAACCTTTTAGTATTGGTTTATTATTTATTCCAATGTGATTTATTATACAGTATTTATTTAGCGCTTACAGTTTGCACAGTGCTTTACAATATAAAAGGAGACAGTACAGCTACAATACAATAAAAAAAAAAGAGGTTAAGAGGGCCCTGCTCATAAGAGCTTACAATCCAATAGGGTGGGGCAATTGGTACAAAAGGCTATAACTGTGGCAGATAAGCTGATGAATATGATCAAT